AGTATGTAGCAAAAAGTGAAAAAAAGGCATAATAATGTATGTTGAACAAAGTTTAAAAAAGGACAAAGTATAGTAGGCTATGTTGAAAATTAATATTTTTGTATAGTAGGCTATGTCACAGTATAGTTTATCAAAAAAGTAATACAATATGTAATGGCATACAATAGTATGACTTTTGTATACATCCTTTTTATTACATCCTTTTAATTAGTTTGACGTTTTATTTCATTTATTTTTCATTCAACTTTAATTTAATATTCAATACCTTATAATTAATTATTTAATGTGATCCAAACAAATATGTTATGGCATACTTAGGTACAATCTTGTTTGACATTGGTGACATACTACCAATATGTTTTCAACCTACTGTAACAATGGTTGGCATGTTATTATATGGCATGTTATTGAATGACTATTTATGATCTTTGACCATTGTATTTAAAAGAAAAAAAGGAAAAAAAAGGGCATTGCAGAGTTGTCCTCTTGCTAACTTTAATTAAAAGAAAAAAAATTAGCCGAAGTAATGGCATAAAGTAAGACAACAATTTATTTTAGTTGTTTTAGTCGTCTCTCAACTAATCATTCGGTTGCTAAAATGATTGTTTTCAGAAGAAAAAAGTCTGTTGTGTTGTCAGAACAAAAAACCTGAAAAGCTCAACACATTTAACAACCTGGAATCAGTGTCTTCTTGGCATAGCAAAAAAGGCAAACCATTAAAATTGTTCCAGATTCAATTTCTTTTGATCTAATAATTTAAGCTCGAGCAAAAGTACAAGCTGAGTGCGAGGGCTGAAACTGACAGGATTATACTGTTACACAACACTAACTCCTTAGCAACGGGTCCTGCACATAGCACAGATTCCTTAAAGCTACTGGTATCAGTTTCGTGTTGTGCTGGGCAGCTCCTGAGAGTCCTCAGCTTCACAAGATCTGCATTTAGCTTCGGCAACGTTAAGGCAGACAAGTCAAAACATAAATGAAAAGGTCAAGACGTTTTTAAAAGCATCAGTACAGGATTTATTTATAAAAAATGTAACTGTGGAAAAGACCTGGCAACATGAAAACTATGACATTATATATTATGAGACAAACACTTTTAAAATGTGACTCTACACATACAGGAGCTACATGAGTGGTTAGGTAACATTTTTGTCCAAGTACGGAAAGGTGCAGGTATGCGTATGAGAACTAGTAATACAGTGCATCAGGACAGACAAAAGTTATCTGGATCTCAAGTTATTTTTAAAAAATCGTTAAGATGTTTAATTCATTCCTAACAGTCATAAAAGCTACACCATAACCCGTGCAACAGAATATGCCCTTTATGAGCCAGTAACACATGGAAAGCAAACACTTAGGTTCAGTGCTGGAATTGGGCCGGTACTCACCGGTACGCAGTACCGGCACTTCTGGTTCTGACCCATGGAGTACCGGCACTTCTTGCTCAGTACCGGCATGCTGGCGGTACTCCGGTACTCATGCACGGTGCCAGTACTCAACACTCTCCCACCGTTCTTATTATACATCCATATATATATATATATATATATACAGCCGCCCGGTACTCAGTAGATGCGTCATGAGGTGCCGAACGGACATTCTCATCGCTCTAACCACTGGAGTTTCACAGCGGCTGTCAGCTGTTTACTCCTGTCATTCAAACAGAACGTGCTGGAGAGGGGGCGGGGCTTATATTCTCCATGTAAATACTGTGGTGGAAACGACTATGTCAAAATTAACCTATTTGACCGTGATTTAATAGTAATACACGTTTCAAAATAATAATAATAATAATAATAATGCCGAAGTAACAACATACTGAAAACTGTTAGTAAAACCATGTTTTAATGCTTTACAATTTACATACCTAGATGCACGGTGTGTTGTGTTTATGCAGTGCAACTCCCACCCAGTGGGTGGCTATGTAGAGTGATAGAACAGAGCAGGCACGCCCCCGAGAGAAGGAAAGCAAGTCACGTCACAAATGAGCATTTCTAAAATGTTAGCTTGGATTAATAAAAGTGCAAAAAGACAGCGGTTGTCGCCGGAAGAAACTTCAAATACAGAGAATGCTGTGCCTGTGTTGGAAATTGTGTCTGATGGGGAGCTTTCTTTGGTTGATCCTCCTGCTCCAAGTTCTAGTGCATTAGCATTAGCACTAGCTCCGCCGCCTCCTCCAGAGCCTCTAACGTTAGCTGCTGCTGGCGCAACTGCCACCACCAACACCGGGCAAAGCGATGCACCTGACTGCTGGACAACGGACCAGGTGCAATATTTTTGCAAGACCAATGCATGGCTCCTTCTTAAAGATAAGAAGCTAGGATGTCGGATATGCAGAGATGTCAAATCTTTGGGAATACACACCGGACAAGGACTGAAACTGTCAACTGAATGGGGTGAGTGTGCAGTGTCTCATTTCGGTGTTGACAAGGGCAAACAACAAGCTAGCCTGAGAAAAAAAAAATCAAAGAACATAAAGAATCACAAGCCCATGTAAAAGCTGCTGACATCCTTACATCTGCTTCACGTGAAACTATTCAACATCAAGTGCAGTCTATGCATAAATCTGAATTAGACACCACTATCAGAGTTTTTCGAACGGCATATAAAATTGGCAAACATAGCCGGCCATTCACAGACATGCCAATTGATTTGAATGTACAGAAACTGAATGGGCTGAACGTGGGCAGGGTTTTGCACTCCAATAAAACCTGTGGCGAAATCATCGACCACATAGCTCATGAGCTGAAGAAAAAAAATGGCAAAAGACATTACAGAAAACCAAAGAAAACTCTGTGTTTTGGTCGATGAATCTACCACTATTAGTGGTAAAACGGTGCTTGTTGTGTGTCTACGCTCAGCATTAGCTGATGCTGAGCCCGAAACATTTTTTTGGGAGCTGATCGAGTTGGATGGAACAACGGCTGATGACATCACAAAGGCGTTAATGGAGTGTCTTGGAAGAGATTTTAACGAGGACTTTTTAGGTCAGTGTTTCGTTTCTTTTGCATGTGATGGGGCTTCAGTCATGCTAGGGAAGAGAACAGGCGTTGCTACCCAGTTGTGTAGTACATTCCCAAGCCTGTTTGTGTGGCACTGCTCCAATCATTGTCTAGAGCTGGCAGTTGGGGATGTGGTCAAGGAGGTCTCAGGGCTCAATCATTTCCAGATCTTTTTTGACAAACTCTATTCCTTGTTCCATGCCTCCCCCAAAAATCAGAGGCAGTTAGCGCAGTGTGCGCAAGCAGTCGGACAGCGTCTCCTGGTGATAGGGCGTGTTTTGTCCATCCGCTGGGTGGCTTCAAGTGAAAGGAGCGTCAGAGCATTCTGGGAAAACTACCGAGTGCTTCATGATCACTTCACAAATGCTGCAAACGACACGAGCAGGGATTCCAGAGACAGAGCAAAGTACAAGGGCCTGGATGATGTGCTCACATCTGCAACGTTTGTCAGCAATCTGGGACTGATGTACGATGCGCTCACAGAGCTCAGCGACCTCTCTCGGCAACTCCAAAAAAGAGAGATGACACTGCCTACAGCAGATAGGCTCTTAACTCGAGAAATACAAGTTTTTGAATCCATGGTCACCATGCCTGGCCCACACATGACTACAGTTCATACAGCTCTAGCTGAGAAGTCCTTCAAGGGTGTTGCCCTGCGTGAGAATGGCAGGCTTGTACAGATTCATGCAGGTCAGTTTTTCCGCAGTATGGTAGAGAATCTGAGACACAGAATGACTTCCACAACCTCCTCTCATGTCAGCACAAGAGAAATCCCATTACATGGCCGGGAGGCCCGGGACAATCAGCTAATCCAGGACATGAAAGTTATCCATCCTGGAAGTTGGCCTGAAGAGGAGTTAGACGTACAGTATGGGGACGTAGAGGTGCTACGTTTGTGCGAAGTGCTGAAAGTGGACAGAAGAGAGACTGTTCAGGGCTTTCGCGAATACAAGGAAACCAGGGCATCCCGTACACCTGCTGCCATGGAGCCTCTACTGAAAGCAGTCCGAACCATCGCTGTCTCCACTAGTGGAGTGTGAGCGGGCATTCAGCTGCATGAACGATATCCTTACTGCAAAAAGGAATGCTCTCTCTGTCAGCCGACTGTCCAGCCTGGTTTTCATTAAATGTAATGGACCATCACTAGGACAGTTCAATCCGGAACAGTATGTGAGGTCCTGGCTGGCAAAGGGAAGGAGAAGTGCTGATGAAAGAGCCTGTCCAGCTCCAGCCCCTGATACTGATGTCCCCAAGGCCTTCTGGAGCCTTTTCTAACAATGTGAAGTATATTGCAAAGCAGCTCACCCAGTGAGAAGACTTTTGGCATAATGTGCCGATTTGTACAGATCCTGGAGATAGAAGGACTTCAGACCAACCAGGGAGTTATCTGATCAGCTTGGTGTTCAATGTAACTCTTTACCATGGCTCAGACTTTGTTACTTGCAGTTACAGTTTCTCATTTTAGATTGTGCAAATTTTGCATTTGTTTTTACATGTTCTTTGTTCATGCTCTTTATCATTTTTCTGAGTTGGAAAGTTAGATTGCATCATAGTTTACTTTATACATATTTGTATTCTTCAGTGGTGAAGTATATTGCAAAGCAGCTCAGCCATGTGAGAAGACTTTTGGCACTTTTTCGTTTTCGTTTTCTGAGTTGGAAAGTTAGATTGCATTCAAAATGTACAGAAATACTTAATTTTGTTAAAGCTTTTTATAAAAAATGCTTCTGACCAGAGCTCTGTTTCCTTGTCATTAATGTTGAACACCACCAGAGGGGCTCTCACCTGAAAGGTCTCTGCTTCATGTGTCTTCAGCAGAAGATCTAGACTTTGATTGCTATATTTTCAGTTAATATTGACCTTACTGAGCTTTAGCCATATCCGCTGCCTATCATAAAAAATGTTAAGTACAGTGAACCTTTCTAAAATATACAGTAGTAAAGAGACAAACCCACCAGCATTATAGTAGCCAAATTCTTGTTTGTGGGCTGTATATATAAAATTGACTTGAAAAAGTTGCTGATTTTAGAGTACTGGCACCTTTTTCATTCCAATTCAAGCACTGCTTAGGTTACCACACCGAGTTATTTACAGCTAGAGCTGCCACGGCTCCTCACTGTAGCAACAGTAAAATGTCAAAGGATCACTGAGGTGATGTTTATTATTGTCCACAAATCCCATGAAAAGCACAAAACCAAGTTATAAAATGTATCTTAGATCATCAAAATAAGCATCTTAATGTTTGTGTTATGACCAAAATGGCTTTTGAGGTCACAGTAAACTTGACCTTTGACCACCATGAACCTATCAGTTTGCCCCGGAGGACAAGTGGTTGTTTAAGGCAAATCTGAAGAATTTCCCACATGGCTTTCCTGAGAATGGGGGGGACGGACATAAAACCTGAAAACATCATGTATCTGACAACGACAGTTGGCCAATGGTAGTGAGGCTTAAAAAGGAGAAAGCATTTGATTTAGTGTCTGTTCACAGACCTCAGCCAATGAGTCGAGCAAGAGGCATTGGAAAATGTTCACTAGGAACAAATAAAAAAATTAAATAATTAAAACTTTTAAAAAAAGGTACTTTACTTCAAAACAATCCTATCACGCAGAGGTTAAAAGAAAGGAAGGGATATATTTGATTCTAAAAGTTATATCAGGGTTTATGATGGATGAATATACCAGTACAGGTTCCATAGATTGTTAATTGACAGCGAGCTGCTGCAGGGACTGATGGGGTTAATGACCCCCCCGTGCTTTAAGTCACAGGAGGTGGAACCACCCAGCACTTGGTATGTGATGAGATACTGAACGAGTCTCTCTGCTCCTCAGGTCAAGGTAACAAACCGTGTGTAAAAAAGAGTCTCAGTTGACCTTTTCTGCATCCGGGTTGTCCTTAGTGTTTGACCTTTGATCCTCAGCCTCGATGCATTTCTTTTTCTGAAGAATGCGGTCCACCAGAACGACAAACACGGCTGAAGAAATGAGGCAAGCCCCCGACAGGTAGAAGGCAGAGCTGTAGTCGTTCGTCTGGTCTACCAGCCAGCCTGCAAGAAACACAGAACAATACAGAACAGAAGATCAGTGTGTCCTGGTGCTGATCATAAATTAATAGACGTAACCGTTACTGTAGAAGAAGGAAATGACCATTCTATTAACAACTATACTACAACTTCTTAGTGAAAGACTATCTAATCTGACTTTGACATTTTAAATACATTTCAATGAAATACTATATTAAGATTTTTTTTAAATGGCAAAAATATTGCATTTTCAGTATAATTTTATGACATACAATATGAGAAGTCAGCATAAGGGGAGGCCCTACAGAAAAGGCAATACATACAACTAAATATATTTGTAGATATTACTTCCGTGTTAAATTGACACCCTGCCGCTCTGTGACGCTGCAATTAAGCACAGTGATGCTTTGAGTTTAATTACAGCAGCATAAAACATGCTAGCAAGGACAATTCCAACATGATGCTTGGCATGAATAATGTTTACCATTTTCACCACGTTGATATCATTTATTGGCATATACAATTGTATTAGGGCACCAAAGTTCATCCCATCCTATAGTTATTTTCCTATATTTATTTTGTATAGTTATGGATATTCCGACATCTTGCATGACAACATTAGCCCATTAACCTGGGACTGCACATCGGATCTGATAACTTAGTTTTTTTTAGCAGCAACTTAAACACAGACTGCTCACCTGCAGCAGGTGGTCCTATGAAGCCCCCGAAGCTCCTAAACAGCATAAAGAGCCCAAGTCCATTGTCAAAGCCCTCCAGGGATACAATGTCCACAATGGAGGTGACGTGGATAGCCACCACGCAGCCGAACAGGAACCCGTAGAGGCAGACAAACACCATGATGGCCCAGTAGCTTTGGTTGATGGGGAGCAGCAAGAGCACCACCCCGAGCAGAGTGACCACCATGGTGAGCAGCTGCAGGTTCCTGACCACACGCATGTTGGCCAACCAGCCGCAGAGCAGCCTTCCTGCCAGGTCTGCTAATGCCAGGATGGAGAGGATCAATGCTGGCCAGTACTTATCCATCCCTAAACTGTTGGCGAAAGGCACTAGAAAGAGAGGTGGGATAAAAAACCCTGCTGCCGCAAAAATGGCAAACAGGATGTAGAATAGTAGTTCAGGTTTTCTCAGGAGGGAGAACTGGAAGATAACCTTCCTCTTTGGTGGGAGCTCAGCTGCATCGCCTTCTAGATTGTCTTTGGTTTCCTGTATGGGGCTCTGGGGGGGCTCCAGCGGTCTCATGAGGGCGCCACAGACACACAGGTTGAGCTGGAGACCCCCGATGATGATCAGGGCCCCCTGCCAGCTGTACGTCTCGATCAGCCACTGGAAGAAGGGGCTGAACAGGATGGCAAAGACGCACTCTCCTGAACTTGCGATGCCGTAGGCGATGGGACGCCACTTCACAAAGTAGTGGCTCACCATGCTGTTGGCAGGGATCCACGCGAAGCAGATGCCCAGTCCTGGAAACAGAAGATAAAAACCTTAGCTAGTGACCTCTCACATTTATCTTGATACCACTTATGCGGCTTTCACACCAGCGCTTTTCCCTTTCTAGCTCCGAGCTAGAGCTTTTCTGGTTCAGCTCCGGTTTCCCTTTTCTGCTCCCGCTCTGTTCACACCGCCCAGAGCTGCCGCTGCTGCTTCATGACGTCACCGTTTACGTGCCTGCTTCATAAAATCCAAACCGCGCAGAAATCCCTCACATCGACAACAACAACAATGGCCGATTGTATTGAAGCGCTGTTCGCTTTGGTTATCCTCTTACGAAACGAAAGGCATCGGACGACTTTACAAGGGACGACTTTACAAGGGACGACTTTACTTGGAACTTTACAAACATCACACGCAAGCATTTTGTTGTTGTTCAGGAGGCTGATCCCGCCCATGCCCCTGCTCCCGCCTCGACGTAAGAGAGACGTAAGCGACGCCGCCTCTTAGCTCCGAAGCTCTTGCCTCTAGACCGACAATTTTTTGGAGCTGGAAGTGAACCGGATTCCGGAGCTAAGAGGCGGCGCCTCTGCGGTGTGAACAGGAAAAACCGGTACTTTTCAGGCTCCAGCTCCGAGCCGGAGCTGAAAACGCGTTGGTGTGAAAGGGGCATTAGAGGAGTCGCAACCTTAACATTGCTGACCCGTTATCATTAACGGATAAAGTGTGATGAGCTGTTGAGCTGTTGGCCACTTTATGATGTCATAACGATTTTTTGGCTTGTGTAACCATTAGCCAATCACCAACCAAGGTAACACCCACCACCTTATCACCTGAATCTCCTCCTAGAGCACCATTGTGTTCTTTTTAACCAAATATCTCTCAGAGGGGCGTGGCTCCTTATTTTCATCAAAAGAAACAGACAGAGGGTGTTTCTCAATCTCGAGTAAAGCTGCTCCAGAGCTACTATTTCAAGCATACTACGTCATCGAGTGCCGCCGAAGTACTGTTCCTATAGACGCATTCACACCGCAGTACTTTTCCCCACAAAGGTTCATGAGAACTCTTTAGTTCTCATGAACTAAGTACAGATCGCGTCCTTGGTGGGATGAGGAGGTTTGCCTTTTCCGAACGTTCACCGTAATAAGTTCCTGGGGAAGGATTAGGCAAATGAAGCCACTGACGTCACTTCTTCTTCTTCTGCTTTGGGTTTACTGGCAGGCCGCAAAACAACTTCACGGCGTATACTGCCGCCCAAAGTCCCCGGCCGCCCAAAGTCCCCGGCCGGAAGTCCCCAGAGTTGGGGACTGGCTTCAGTAGAAGCTGCTGGGGAAGCCTTCCGAGTAAATCGCCAGAACACCGACACCTGCTCATCCCCACCGCTCCCATGTTTTCTTTTGTGTTGCCATAAGTTAGTCTCTCTCTCTGCGTTTGTGCACTGGGCTAATGCTAATAATGCTAATGCGAGGATAATAAAATGGCGCCTTCACAAAACTTTTTGGGAGTTTTACGGGGCGTGGTTTGCATTCTGCACAGCCAATCAGACATAGGAACCTTTTTCTCCCACGAAAGTCCCTGCTCTCTAGCAGGGACGGAAAAGGGGGTAAAAAGGTTCTGATTAACTCATTTTAGTTACGGCTCTTTTTGGTGTGAACGCGACATTTCGGAACTAAAGTGTGAATGCAGCTAATGTCCAGCATACTTGGAATTCTACCGAGCCCGGAGAACTTCATTAGGAGAAATGTCGAGGCTGCACATGTGTAGACTCCGGTCTTAAAATCCCCACAATGCTTTGCGCACGGACCAATTTCCCCAAATCGGTGGCGGAAAATGTAAGGCGGGGCCTCTCATATGACGCACACCTGCCCACTTGCTAGCCTGTTCCACTCTTCATTTTCCGAATGCCAGGAAGTATTCTTGCCTCGCTTCTGAAGCAAGACGCTCGGAAGACATGTGCTACCAAGCAAGCGTACTCGACATTAAGAAACCCCCCAGAGAATCAGCACTTTTGAAACAGAGGGGATTATGGGATGTTACAATGCATGATCTGTTTGGTATTTGGAGCCAAACACTTCAGAGACATGTTTTGTATATATCTGAGACCTATAATATATGGATGGAAAACAGTATAATAGGGGACCTTTAAGATTGGTGTTCCCCCGACTAAAACTGTCCAAACAAAGTACGTGAAAAGAGAGGAAATGCTTCAAATGTGTTACCTTGCATGACGCCCATGGTGAGGTAGAGCCACGGCAGACTGAGGTCCAGAGAGGCCAACAACATTCCCGAGGCTGACAGCAGACCTCCTAGTATGATGACCACCCTCTGAGAAAAACGTAGGGTAAGCACACTGGCCAATGGAGCTGAGAAGGAAATTAAAAACATTACTATAAGAACAATCTTGATTTAGAAACAACTAAAGACTGAGAGCCATGTCTTTACCTCCTAGGTGAAACATGCCGATCGTAGTGGAGGTGACCCATGAGGTAGTGCTGGTCATGACTTGAAAGTGACTCTGGATGTCGAGGAAGAAGAGGCCGAAGTTCTTGAGAACGGCAGCAGTGAGGCCCATGATAAAAAAGGCAGATATGACCACAACCCAGCCGTACCCCCCGTCAGGAGGTCTCCTGGAGTTCATCTTCAGCTCCTCTCTGCAGGCCGCTCTGCTGTCTGTGCTGAACAGTTGTAGTCCAACAATCAGATAAACCTAAGGGTTCGGTAATGTAAATGAGCATGCAAAACATTCATAGATACAAGAACTAGCAGCAGTTAGTAACGCTCAAGCATATTGAACATAGGACCTGTTAAACATAATTATTTTGTTCTCAATTCAAATTAGAAGAAAAACCCTCAAGGTACTAAAAGTAGAAGAACCGGTCAGTTAGTAAAAATGTCCCATACAGTTTTTATCAATATTAGGTTGATAACAAAAGTTTGAATGAAACTACCTGGGTCACATTTCAACGTATAGAGGCCCCACACCACATGTGTTGGGAACTAGTCACATGCCACTAGCTGTAAGATAAGTTCAGTGGAGTAAATAGAAGTATTTGGCTTTTCAGTATAAATAACTGCATCGACTCCAAATTGTTTAAAATAAATAAATATATATATGACAGTGTGGTGTAGGTAAGAGTTTGTGTTGCCAACAACGCCACCTAAGGGAGTTTCACCCCTAGGAACTAACTATTGATTATAAAAGATTTACCACACAAGGAACACAGGTTCGTTTTACATAACGGGCCAGAGACAGTTTCAGTTACGGTTAACACAATTACTTTATTTTATAACAATCAATTAACTATTCTAAAAACACAAGATCCACATAATACAATCAGCTAAAAGTTCATACTGGGGCATAGGCGGTACAAGACAGGGCTGGGGCTTACCAGGCGGCAGGGGCGGATCTAGACAAATATTCATGGGGTGGCAAGAGGGTGGCAGGAGATTTTGAGGGGTGGCATCCCCTGGCAGAAGTATATGCTGATTTAAATCGCAGTGTAACGGTACACGTACTGACATTATTCGGTACGGGCCCTTCGGTTCGGTACACGTGTGAACCGAAGGGTACCGAACGAATATAACGTTAAATGTAAAAAATTGAGAACATGAACAACTTTCTGGAAGTAATCTTAGGTATATATCATAGAGCGACCAAGTCATTTCATTGGACGAGAGGCATACTATGAGAGCTGGTCACAGGGATGCGTTCAAATGTAGTCAGTAATTTGAGGAACTATCGAAATGGTGAACGCAGATAAAGTTGAGCTCAAAAATCCTCCAGCATCATTGAAGTCTCCGGTTTGGGAACATTTTGGTTTCGCAGTTACGAACAAGGATGACGGACAAAGACAGCTGGACCGAACCAAAGCTGTTTGTCGGCATTGTTCAACTAACATTGGTTACGCGGCTGGCAATACATCAAACTTGCACACTCATTTGAAAAGGCATCACCCGAACGTGAATATCACCGGTACCAAAAGAAAAAAGACTGAAGTGCAAACCCAACTCCCGCTAGCATGTAAGCCTCCACCACTCGCAGAGAGTTCAGACCGAGCCAACGCTATTACAAACGCCAAATATCCTTATGTTGCCATGTTAGCAAAGCGCTACCTGGCTGTGTCTGCTACCTCTGTCCCTAGAGAGGGTGTTCTCCACAGCAGGAGACATTGTTGGTGCCAGCAGATCTGCCCTTTCAGCAGCAATGTGGACAAGTTCATCTTTCTTTAAACAACATGAAAATACAATGAAAAGCAAGTCCTAATGTCAACCTGGCTGCTTAGGTACAGTACAGTTCAAATACAGATCATTTCAGTTCATCGACATGCTACACCTTAATGTTTATTTTATTATATTTTGTATTTATTTGAGTGAATATTCACAGTTTAATAATAATTAAAAAAAAAAAAAAAAAGTTTAATGTTGTGAGAATTTGTTCTGCTGTACCGAAAACGTGACCTAAAAACCGAGGTACGAACCGAACCGAAATGTTTGTGAACCGTTACACCCCTACAATCAATGTTAACTTGGAAAGCCACAATATTAATATTTTAACTCAATGACATTAGGTGATATTATTGTGGCACATCAGTAAAGCCTTACATATGTAAGATGGCAGACGTAATTTAATGAATTTCAACTGAACAATAACTGAATGAGTTTGTTTCAATCTTAGACCAGCAGGGGAACCAAATCTATGCACTGCTGCAATAAGTACATTAATTAACTGTCTCATCGATGTTTGTCTGAATGAATATGATACTATTAACAATCATATTATTCCTATCAGCTGTCAATCACTGTTATGATTCACATATTCATTTATTATTGAATAAACTATATTTTTTGGAGGAGTTAATGATGAATGTTCATCAAGATGCTTGCTCACCCTCCTTCAAATTTGAAAAACAAGTAATTATATCATTATTGATATACAGTTACAACCTTGACTTTACATCAGAAAGAACAAACATTAAAGAAGTGACTAACTGCCTCAGTTAGGGTTAGAAAACGTGTATTCAGCTAAAACATCGCTGCAGTTATTATCCAGTGGAAGGTCCTTACCTACTGGCCTAGTTAAATCAAAGTGGTTACTTTCTGTTGGCTGGGCAGTGTAGTTTTACACACCGTCTGATTTTACTTCCTCAGGACTTAAAACTGTTTTTTGGGGGCAGACCCCCACAAAGAAAAAAAATATATACACGCATACAAGGTCATCATCTTAACAGTTTGTTATGCTCATCGAGTCATCCGTGAGCAGAGCATCAAGTTGACATGCCTATTACAGCTGAATGCGGCGATTACCATTTTGTTCAGCAAAACGCCTCACAAACGTATTAAGATCCAAAGCTTTAGTGCGTTTTGATTCAATGCTGAGTACAGCCAAACTTGACATTCTCTTCTCTGTAATTGTAGATCGCAACTACCTCATTCCTTCCGTCTACTTGGGTCCGAAATGCTTCTCGTTTTGCGCCGTCCACCGTTCAACTGAATTCGCCATCAATCATATTTCCAGTCTCGCGCCAGGGCCGGGGGAGGGGTTACAAGACTCGCGTCTTGTGCTGCATTCACTTGCACTCGGACATTAGAGATTTTCTCTCATAAATGTCCGATGAGCCACAACTTTTCTTTCAAAACAAAGATGCCAACTGGGGTGGCAGCTGGGGTGGCAAGGCTATTGTTTAGGGTGGCAGTTGCCACCCCATGCCACCCCGGTAGATCCGCCCCTGCCAGGCGGCAATAAATACATAGGGGGGAAGGGTCCAACTCAAAACCACCCGTGACACCGCAAACCAAACAATAGGACTTGTGAAGACCACCACCACCAGGGACTGGGGTTGCCGCCTCAGGCCCACAGCACCTGTCTGACAAGATGAAGACGGTTAAAACCTCCACACAGTATTAAACTCAAATAAACACGTCACCAGACACGGAGCTCGCAACGGCAAGTTATTCCAGTAGTGAGTCACTGCAAAGAGCCAAAACAGTAGGACCAGTTGTCCGAAGGTGGGCCTAGTAATTAATAGCACCCAATCTATTCAGCCACAGCATAGCACCCGAGCCGTCAGGAGAGAGAGGCGCATACATGGCAAAATCCCGCAGGTGATAACAACACTGCGCCCAGGAGAGTCCTCAGCGGAGCAATTTCTCCGCCACTGCACCGGCAGTCAGATGCGCTGTCCAGATGAGAGTGTTGCGAAACGGCTTTCACGACAAACAATTCATTCGGGCCACGCCGTGCTCCAGCCACCAGCGAAGGGGTTGACAGGTAAGTCACGAGCTACGCCACACCCCTGTATTTATACTTCCGGCGGGCCCAGCAGTGACAAATGCGGAGGCGCATGGCACAGTGCCGTGGTACGGAGGGAGAAAACCTCCTGTCACATATTTATACACACATTATATATATATATATATATATATATATATATATATTTATACACACATTATATATATATATATATATTTATACACACATTATATATATATATATATATATGTGTATGTGTATATATATATATGTGTGTATATATATATATATATGTGTATGTGTATATATGTATATATATATATATATATATATATACATACATAAATACTTTGCAACTTTCCACTGACTGCTGGGAATTACAAAGTGTCCGTGCAATTAAACACAGTTGGGTTCATAATAATTCGTATTTTTTTGGAATTTATCTTTTCCTTTTTGCATTTTCTTCCAAATTAAACTATTGTTGGCTCACAAATAACGCACAAATTATCAAACAAAGGATATTTAAATTTCTACTCACCGTTTCCCCTCGCTACAGTTCCACTGCTGGCATCCTCAGCATGTTGCAGCTTCAAACACGACTCCAGCACTTTATATATACACTCTATGCTCCAGCACCGTAAAGAGTTCAAACTCAGCTGACTTTAAAATGTCACTGCGCTCTTATTCTGAAGTTTAAGGTAAGCCCGTTATACCCTATACAGTCTATGGTTAGAACATCACCCAGGCGACTGTTAAACTGATGATGTTTTAGTTATTATTTCACCTTTTCTAAGTCCATGCACGCTCCCGTTACGTCCATGGTGGGGACTCGACTCGTTCACACAGCTGTAAACTATAAGTCAATTAACGGACCGGTGAAATGTGACCGATTTAGAAGAAGCTGCCGTTAATGCGCAGCGTATGCAACATCCGGTTTTCAAAATAAAGTCTACAAATATATTTGTATGCTGGACTGCTCAGAGGGATCATTTTCTTGAGTCTGAATTTAAAAACACACATTGGAGAAAGGCCTGGCTACAGTAAATAGTATTACATTAACATTATTTCAAACAAGGCTAATGAAGAATGCCTTTGAACATTTACATAATGCTAATCATCCGTTCACTAAATGTACAGACATTGATATTTCTCAAGCTTTTTGTGAAATATCCCACACACTTTGGACAATTCTGAGTTTAACTTTTTTGAAGCTTGTCATATTTAACCCTAAATCTTAGTTAAATGATGATCCAGACACGGAAATATCTTATTAGATGTATTGTTCTTTATGAAATGTTTGAAATTACCATAGGCTACCCATTTTTTTAGTTTACACATTTTGTCCAACCACTGAATTCTCACTCACAAAAATAAGGAACTGGATATGTTTTTTTAATTAATAGTTCCCCTTGTAAAGAAACTGGACACTCCATTTACTTATTCATAACCGGATTATTTTTGGCAGTTTAAATTGTTTTTGCAAAAACTACTTTTCCACATTCCATTTATATCATGAAAAAAATACAATTTATAGTCATAAACCATACTTTCAAACTGACAAGTAATATATCACCAGCAAAAATTATAATTTTAAACATACTTTTCATTAGATGGGACAAACATTAGCTTTACTATCTACTTTTTTTGACAATAAACATTTGGGGAAATATATTCAGACATTTTTCTTATTTTACATATAGATAATGGGAGGATAGGCCACCCCTAGTACAATAGGGACATGTCTTTTATATTATTTAAAAATGTAACTTCTCAAAATTCTGTAAACCAAAATGCCCCTCAGGTATATTTAAGTTAAACTCTAAAGGTTATATCGGGACATTTGATTGAAATCCTTCCAAGTGCACCTTTTAACCTCACATCTCTGTTAATGCAGGTACATCATGAGATGTGGTTAGTACATGCTGCACTACGGTGTTTTGTGGACTACAGCTGAAGTTACACACATCTGTTTCACCTGAAATAAATCAAACGCTTTTGGAATGCTTAATATAATGTAATGTAATACAGTTTGCAGACTTTTTAAGATGCCACACTCAATTTACTGGATTACATTAAAATGTGTGTGGTACTAAATGAATGCTTTAGAATCTGCATGTGACAGTATCGATAAACGTAAAGAAAATCTCTTCATTCAAACCCATTAAATACGGATATCGTGTTTTTTCCCCTTAAATCTTATACTATACACTTTTGCAATTCAACATTAATTTATGCTGCAAAAAATGAGTTTCAAAGCGATAGATCACAAGAATTGACTTCGAATATATGAATTGAATTAATCTGTTTTTTTATTTTCACACCACCTCTGACAATGAAAACACAAATCACCTTTGTCTGTACTTCATTTAAACTGACATCTTGCTGGGAGCTTAAATATAGTATTAACTATATTTCATTTTATAAAATTATAAAATTTTCTGGACATATGTACACAATTATACTGTAGGTATATACACAGATGCATAGAAAACACTCGGTTCTGTTAGACCATTTCTCTTCAGGTGAGGGGAAAGGGGGACGGCGAGAGCTAGCCCTGCTAGCTGTTTACATGGACACAACACACACACACTGTCTCTCTACACACACACACACACACACACACACACACACACACACACACACACACACACACACACACACACACACACACACACACACACACACACACACACACACACACACACACACACACACACACACACACACACACACACACACACACACACACACACACACACACACACACACACACACACACACACACACACACACACACACAGAGAGAGAACTTGTTTGACACAAGCATCTCTAGCTTAAGGCCTGGCAATAGTCTACTCACAGTCTCCACAAACTCTTGAACTCTTTTTTTTTTTAAACACTTAATCTGACCAACATCACCTTCAACAGTACTTTGAACATTTCCATTCTGCTGCAAGCCCCAATGGCGCTCCACTTTAGAAATGGGGATGGAGGGCCTTATTTAAAGGCACCTTGGCAGTAGTTTTCAAGCTGGTCCTAGTTTGGAACCACAACTCTTCCAGTCACGAGCTGCTCTGCCACATACTGGCACTCCGCAGGAGGAGGACCTCATCATGGCCTTGCCCCTTTGCCACAAACATGGCAACAATGTTAAGAGTGACTCGGTTGAAGAGGAGCGGGCACTTTGGGTGATTTGTCAGTTTAAAACTCCTTACTGTCCCTGAACAGGTCGATGCGAAGGGCAAGCTCCTTGAAAGAAGGACGCAGGCTGGGGTCGTTGTCCCAGCACTCCTCTGTGATCTCGTGTATCTGAGAGAGAGAGAGAGCAAGAGGAGAGGGAACTGTCAGGGGAGTTGTTCTTGAGATGAGCAGACAACAATTGGACATTGGGTTAGGCCAGTGTGATTAGAACTGGTTTCACGCCTCTGTATGATTGATGTCCCAAAGTAGTGTGCCTATTTATCAAATTACATGATCGATTGAAACCGGTATGTGTGTTTGAATGTGTATTGTTAAACACATTGCCCATTTATCCGTGCAGTTACGGTGTAAGGCGCTTTGAGAAGATGGTCAGTTTAATTTTGGTAAAATACTACGCATTTGCCTTAACATTAAAAAAACACAATTCAATATATATTATATCTTTGTACTAATTTGCAGCCCTGGTCCCTGTTTAGGCTTTTATATTTAGGTTCAAACAACTAAACAAACAAATGTATCAAAAATAACAGATAAAACAGCACTTCTGCATGCATATGCTCATTTACTCATATATATATATAACATATAGGCAAAATAGTGTCACTATTTATGTTTATTTCACGTGAATATTTTCAGAAAGAAAATAGCAGCTCCTACCTCTGCGGGACACCCAAGGGGTTGAGGCAGCCGGCTGCCTGACTTGAGGAGCTCGATGAGATGATAGACGATCAGCTGTCCCTGCTTGTCATTTCCCATCATGGACATAAAAACCTGAAGAGGAGAATAGTGACAGCCATGATGTAAACATATATTAAAATCTATCTGGTTCACAGAAAATAACTAGATTCGAACAGATAATAAAACTGACTCTAAATGTAAAAAGGCAAATGTGATGCAATGAATAGTTGAGTAATAAACATGTTGTGATTAAGACAAACTCAAAGCAAAGCATGTGGAGCAACCCTGGCAGAGATATGTTATGATTGTCAACATTGCAAAATACAGCATGACGTCACTAAGGGAGTCACTTCCCTTTGTGAAGTTCAGCGTAAAAAAGCGTGCATATTTAAGATTTCCCAAAAGTGTTGTTACTAATGCATGAATCACACTGGACGTCTGGCTCAGCTGGCTGAGAGCGGAAAGACTGTCTCTACAGCACACAAAGACTGTGAGCTATTACATCTCAAGCATCTTTCAGCACCCGGAAAAGGGCCTGAACGTGTTCTATGTACAAATAATACATGGTATTTTTATTATTATCATTATCACATAGAACACGTTCAGGTAGAGGAGGAACACGCCCCGGGCAGTCAGGCTATCACCCTGAAACCACACTGTAGAAAGTTGACAGGCAGGCAGGTCTCCTCCTTGTGTTCTATGTACTGTACTGTACAGTACATGTTTAGTCAGGTTTCCTACATGTCTCTCTCCGAATATATTTTCTGACAAACCTTCTTGAGGAAAATATCAGAGTATTTGTCTTAAGAGCCTTCTAAATGATTTACACTACCCTCCCACTCTAAATAAAGGCATTTTGAAGTTGCTTCAAAATCATAGTACCAGTTAAGAGGCACCTTCACCTCGTTTTCTTTTTTTTCTTCAGGTATTACCTTTTCCCTACTCATGCCTGACCCATTACCTAATATCTTTGTCTTTTTTATGTTTATATTAATCAATATATTTTTTTTTAACATACAAAATGTGTTTTTGCCTTTGCACTTTGTGTGCGTGAATTGGTGAAATAAAGGAAGCAAAACAAAAATATAAAACATTATATCTGCAAACAGTGTCAGGTGTCTTAAACACC